CCCCCCCCCCCCCCCCCCCAGCCTGAGCGGCCCCCCCCCTCCCCCCCCCCCCACCCGCTTTTTAGCTGGCAAACGGACAAAAGGCGACAGTGAAGCCATCGCTATGAAACGACCCTTGCATGTGAAGGCAGGGAGGTTTTTTCTTCTGCTGCTGGAAAATACAGTTGTTAAAGATTTAGCCTTGACAATAATAAACCCTTCTGGCTAGGGAGAAGGGATGTCGTTTCCATGGCAACATTATGCCAGCCTGTAATCTGGCAGACAACGCTGGGCACACGGAGACCAGACCCGGCTGGCCTGAAACAAAATCTACACCTGGAGGTCTCTGGAGGCGTCGCCGCCTCTGAGGAGAGGGCCCAGCTCGGGAACGGGCCGGGAGAACCGAGTGCTTCTGCAAATGGCCGCCACGGCCCTGGCAGGAGCAGGGCAAGGGCGAGGGCAGGAGGCAGGCAGTGAGGAGGCAGGCAGGCGGGCAAGCCCCCCCTTCAGGAGGGAGGAATGGTGCAGGGGGCGAATCCTGTACAGGGGCTGAGGCCAGGCAGCAAGCGACACAGGGCAGCGCTCTTTCGGCACTTTGGGGCACTGGCGGGATTCCTGCCTTGGCACAGATGGCAACACATCCCAGCGGGCGGCTTGGCAGCTGCCCAGATGCATGGAAGCAACATGACGGAGCAAGGGCAGGGGAAGAGGCACCTCCAGCCATCTGGTAGGAAAGAAGTGAGCCGGCGCCGGCCTGCCCCGAGTGAGGGCGATGGACCCAGCCCGGCCAAGAGGCAGCCGCCACTCGGGCGAGTCGGAGCTTCCAGCTGGGGGGGGGGAATCCACAGCCAGAACACCAAGGGGTGCGGGTCTCGCAGACTCCCCTGCGCACTCTGGCAGTGCCGAGGGGGGCCCTCCCGCCCTCACCAAGGGGGCAGTGCCCCTTTCTTCGACTGCCCTCTCCCTCCCTAAGAGCCGCTGACAAGCGAGGGCTCCTCTCAGGGGCACCACAGGTAAGCTGGGTGTTGACAACTCGATCCCTGACAGAACGCAGGGAGGAAGGAAGGGCAGCGGCTCCCTCCCAGGACAAAGGCCGGGCAAAGCACCAGCCCTCTGGATGCTGAGCACCAAAGTGTTTCCCAGGAGACAATCCCAGCCCCTGGAGATGTCTCGTTGCAGCCACTGCCCACCACCAGCACCAGCAGTGGTGTCAACTCTGCAGCGACCATGGACTGGGGGGGGGGATGCTGAACACTGGATAAATTGCCCCTGTCTGGTTCTGTGGAATGTTTAGTTTCTCTTCTCCCTGCATCCTTATCGCCCGTTAGCCTGAGTTGGTGACTTTGGTGCCTTGTTACTTGTTCTCCCTGGGAATGCTCACCCGTTAGCTTAGGCAGGCTTTTGCGTGACTCATGATTGGCCCCCAACCACTCACTGACCCTTTTGATTCTTGTACGTCACTAGCCTGTGCGCGCTTGCTTTTAGTTCTGACAATGAATGTATGCTCAGAAGATCTGCCTTTACTGTACTCAATAAACATAAATCTTTTGAAGGAGTTAGTTGCTGTAGATTTTCTGGGTTGTGTGGCCGTGGTCTTGGCATTGCAGAACCTGACGTTTCACCAGTAACTGTGACTGCCATCCTCAGAGGTATGACGCAGAAAGAGGGAGTACTCTCTGTGTCAAGGTGAGAAGAAAAATGGTAGGCAGGTAATTTATATCTACTCCAGAAGGAGCCCGCTTGCGGGAAGGGCAGGGTATAAGTTTGATAAATAAATAAATAAGGTGGGGTAGGGCTGAGTCATTATCTTGTAGGAGTTCCTCAGGCTATGAACATGCTAATCCACAGAAGAAGAAGAGGAGGAGGAGGAGGAGATTGGATTTATACCCTGTCCTTCACTACCATAGGTGTCTCAGAGCGACTTACAAACTCCTTTCCCGTCCCCTCCCCACAACAGACACCCTGTAAGGTGGGTGGGGGCTGAGAGAGCTCTGACAGAAGCTGCTCTTTTTCAAGAACAGCTCTTATCAGAGCTACAGCTTGCCCAAGGTCATCCAGCCAGGTGCAAGTGGAGGAGTGGGGAATCAAACCCGGTTCTCCCAGATTAGAGTCCGCGCACTTAACCACTACACTCAACATACAAAAGCCAGTTTGGTGTAGTGGTTAAGTGCGCGGACTCTAATCTGGGAGAACCGGGTTTGATTCCCCACTCCTCCACTTGCACCTGCTGATGTGACCTTGGGTCAGTCACAAGCTCTAGCACAGCTGTCCTTGAAAAAGAGCAGTTTGTGTCAGAGCTCTCTCAGCCCCACCCACCTCACAGGGTGTCTGTTGTGGGGAGGGGAAGGGAAAGGAGTTTGTAAGCCGCTCTGAGACTCCAAGTGAAGGGCGGGGTATAAATCCAATCTCTTCTTCTTCTTCTTCTCCTCAGGAAACAGAAAACCTCCTCAGGAAACAATCCATGTACAAAAGAACCTCCGCAGGAAAGCTCCTCCATTAGTATGTTCCTAGCCTAGGGAACTCCTACAAGATAATGACTCAGCCCTACCCCACCTTCTGGAGTAGATATAAATTACTTGCCTACCATTTTCTTCTCACCTTGACAAAGAGAATACTCCATCTTTCTGTGTTAAACCTCTGAGGATGCCAGTCACAGCTACTGGCAGAACGACAGGTCCTACAATGCCAAGACCACGGCCACACAACCCGGGAAATCTACAGCAACTAATGAACTCCAGCTGTGAAAGCCTTCGACAACTTTTGAAGGAGTGTTGTTGAGAACGGATCGCTGCCGGTCTCTGACACGGTGCCAGCTGCAAGAGGGAACAATAGGGAAGAGCTGAATTTGGCCGGTGCCACCAAAGGAGAGCAGAGGACTCCCTGGTGCTTGGGGCCACAGACACAGGTGCCCGCCCGCCCCCTCATTCAGAGCCCCCTTCTGCACACAGACGAATCGAGGGCTGTGCGAGGAGCTGCTTGAGGCACATACCCAAGACTGACGCACAGGTGGGCGGGGGAGGGGGGGGAGCAAGAAGGGTGGCTGGCGTAGCAAGAAGGGTGGCTGGCGTAGGATGAGGCCTGGGGTGTGTGTGTGCTGGAGGAATGCTCCTGCCTTGAGAGATTCAGACAACCCCCTCCCCTAAGTGCTCTGCATGATTGGAGGACCCTTCCCCCCGCCCCCGCAGCTTCTCTTTTAGAGAGACAGGCATCTACCTGCAGTCAGCCTATGAAGCAGCGGCAAGCCCCTCCCCCCCTTCCCGTGCCAGGGCTTCCTTCCCACCCATCCCCATAGACAGACTGGCTGCTCCAAGGATTGCAGCTGGAGTGGACACTGCCCCCCCCCCACGGGTGCACGGCTGAAGCACTGAGGTGGAAGCCCCCGGGGGGGGGGCCTGGATCTGACCCACTTCCGCAGCTTCACGAAGTCTTTGCTGCTGCCTGCCAGGTGAGCGTGGAGGGCCTCCGAAAACCAGATCCAGTCCAAAGCGCCCCGCTGGAGTCGGTGGGGGCTCCAGGCTGCTGCCGCCAGACCACAAAACCTTTGCAGCGACTGGCACGGGGTGGGGCAGGGCACCGCTCATCTCTGAGGCACACACCAGGCTGGTTTGAACTTAATACTTGCACAAGCACATGTTCTCAGTGCACACGCAAAGGGCCTCGTGCCCCCAAAAGCGTATGGGCTTAACACCTCCTACTTGCGCCGTGGCACAAAAAGTGTCCGTGGCA